CAATCAGATACAAAAGAGACACCACTCAACTCTTTCGTAAACCATACACTTCGTATTTCATACTCCATTCCTGGTACAGCTGTAGGTCTTTTTTTCATATCAGAATTGATGCATTGTTTGGCTAATTTAACATAACATTTTGGTATCCTTATAATAAACTCAGGTCGTAATCCATGACAAATCATTGTGGCTAATTCAGCATCAAAATTGTAACCATCAAAAGATCTTCGGCCAGTTAATATTTCTATCATGATAATTCCAAAACTGTAGATATCAGCAGCTTGGGTGAACTGTTCTCCTTTTAAAACTTCAGGTGCTAAATATGGCAAAACTCCATAAATATTACCATCCTGTTTTTCATCAAACGGTATTGATGAACCTAAATCAATACAGGCTTTAAATCGTTCTTTTAGTAAAACATTACCAGAATGTAAGTTTTGATGTATAAAATTTTTAGAATGAATAATTGATAGTTCATTAACGATATCTATTAATATTTTTAGTTTAATTTTCCACTTCACTTTAAATATATCGTTAAGATTTTCATGTAATGATCCAAATCTTGCGTAATTTAACACTAGAATAGAATCTGTATTTTTATCCATTGATATACCATGGTATTTCCCAAATTCATGATACGCCTTTAACTAATAAATAGATAAGTCATACACAATTAATTCATAAACAATATAAATTTTACATGTAAAAAGTAAATACCTCATTTAAAAAAAGTTTTTGATTTTTTATTATCTTGATTGCAACATTTTCATACGTTTGATATCGGTTTTTATATGATGTTTTATACACTATGGAAAATTCACCTTTACCTACTTCTTCAATATTTCTAAAATTATCGTATTCCATCCAAACGAAAAAGCTATGCTCACATTTACGTTGAGTGGATTTTAAAAACCATTCGAAAGCCAAATCTTTAGATATGTCTACACCAAACCCGTTTTGATAACACAAACCAACAAAATGCATTCCACAACACCCTCCACCTTCATATTTTGCACTTTTAAAGTAATATTCAAAGGCCTTTTGTTCATCTTTATCGACTCCATCTCCGTTTAGGTAACAAGATCCAACATTACATATCCCACTAGCGTTACCCATTTCTGCAGATTCTTGATAATAAATGAATGCCTTATGTTTATCCTTTTCAACACCAATTCCATTATGATAACAATATCCAACGTTACATATTCCACTAGCGTATCCCATTTCCGCAGATCTTTGATAATAAATGAATGCCTTATGAACATCCTTTTCAACTCCAATTCCACAACGATAACAACCTCCTACATGAAATGATCCACCAGCGTCCCCATCTCCGCAGATTTTAGATAATAAATGAATGCCTTATGTTTATCTTTTTCAACCCATTTTCCATGCTCATAACAAAATGCAAGAATGATTTGAACCATAGGATCAGATTGATTATCTAAGCAATATTTAATAATTTTATCCGGATTTTGATTTTTTTTTACTAGAAAGCGTTCTAAGACGTCAAGAATTGAACTGACACATTGACATTTTGATTTTTCTTTATTAAATAAATTATACATTTCTTTAATAGTTTCATTAAGAAAATCCTGAGACTTATCTTCTAAAGACAATTGATTAACTTCATCGGATATTTTATCAACATCTAATAGATTGTTGATTTTTTCTGGTCGATTTATAATTGACATTTTGACACAAAGAAAGAGTACATGCGTGTGTACAGTCGGCTCCAAAAGTATATCACGGTTACACAAAAAACATAATAAAAAAAACATAACAAAAATTTATGCAA